CGCCCCCGCCGCCCACCCGGCCCCTGGCCCCAGCTTAAGGTGGGGTGGCGTGGGGAACCGGGAACTGGAGTAGATACCGGGAGCTGGCTGGGAAAACAAGGAGGGACCCTAGACAGGACACTGCGGGGGAGAAGGAGGGTCACTGGGGTGGACACTGAGTGGAGTCCAGGAGGGTCACTGGGGGGCTATGGAGAGACACAGGAGGACACTGAGTGAGGACAAGGAGGGACACTTGACTGAGTGGAGACAGAGACATTGGGGGGGCATGGAGGGACACTGGGTGGGGAGAAGGAGGGTTATGGGCACACTGGGGAAAAGGAGGGATACTTGGGGACACTGGATGGCAACAGTGGACACTTGGGGACTCAGTGGAGACAAGGAGGGACACGGGCACAGAGTGACACTTAGGGACACTGGATGGGGACAAGGAGAGGCACTGAGGGTGGACACTGGGTTTGGACAAGGAGGGACACTGGGGGATACCAGGGGGATAAGAAAGGACCTGGGGTGATACTGAGGGGGAGACACTGGGAGGGGACACTGGGGGGAGAAGGAGTGACGCTGGGGGTGTACACCAGCAGGACACTGGAGGAGGGATGCCAGGGGACAAGGAGGGACACTGGTGGGGCAAGGCGGGGGGACAAAGGAACATCCGGAGAGGCACTGGGGTGGGGACAAGGAGGGACACAAGGGGCACATAAGGGGTCCTTTCCTTTCCCTTTGACCCGAGCTGCTGAAGTTTCTCCTTGGGTCTGTGCGAGTGGTTCCCCACTACACCTATCCACTGTCCTGGGCTCTGCAGGTGCCTAAGCACACGAGAGTGTTTTTCTGCTTTTCTGCCCAAAATAACTCCCCAAAGGCTCAAAACAGCCTCTGCAGTGGTACTCCATGGCCAAATGTCTCTGCCCTGTTTGCTCCCCACTGAGCACTTTGGGGACAGGCTTGGCTCGTTCCTCTTGCATATGTGGTGGTGGCCACAAATAAAAGGTTGTCCCCTTTTTTTGGCAGTAGGGAGGACACAACTCTGTGAGGGGCTGGGGAGGGTGTACAACAAGGATAACGAGCCGTTATTTCCAAGGCTGGGTAGGTGTTTAATTGCTCCTGGGAGATTAAATGTAGGTGCTATCATCATCTTACTGGTAGGATTTAGATAATGTTTTCTCTCTTCTGTCTTAAAAATATCTAGGTGTACACAGATCGTGCATAGAGACATAGCATGTGGAGCTCGAGCTGCAACCTGACAGCTTGAAATATCTCGGTGCTTCAGGAGGGTGTTAAAATACACACAGAGCACCCTTTCATAACCTTAACGTGCCCTGGAATCGCAATGACACAAAAGCCACCACCAAGATACACATATATGGTTCTATATGTGTGTGTGTGTGTATACATATGTAGGAGAGGCACTGTAGCAGAGTCCAAACCACACACACACACACACACACACACACACAAGTATTTACATACATACATATACACACATATATGTATATTTGTATGTCTTCCCCCCCTACATGTATGTATGTATGTGTATGTGTATCTGGACCCCAAGAGCTGCCCGCGCCAGCCCAGTTTGTGTTACACATGCTACGTGAGGGTGATGCAGGACACTGTCCTACAAGGAGATACTTGTCCCCTTGATGCTTTTTTACTGGTAGAAGAGTTGCAGGACTGAAATCATGCCGTATGTGTCCAGACCTCCCCCTTCTGCCTTTACATTCCCATGCTGCTTTTCCCCCATGCAGCCAGGGCTGTTTTATTTGGGGAGCGGAAAAGGAAAAGGAGACACGAGTCTGGGAAAGGCTCATGTCCAAAGCACAGAAAGAGGTTAGCGTTCCCTTGTGTGCTGCCCGCAAGGACCAAAGTCACATTGAGAGATTGGGCAGAAGCAGGGTGCTGGGGTGAGTGGGGAAGGAGGGCCTTTTGCCCCCTGGAGATGCTCTCCCCTGCTGAGCAGGGCTGTTATGGGTTAACCTAGGGATATAGCTGCTGCATCGGGAAGGAGGCTATGGCAAGGGTTGATATTTACCCCCGGAAACAGCCTTTTCAACGTGCTCAAATCAAAAAACATTTCTCTCTTTCTCCTCTTCCCTGAGACTCGCACCTTGGTCTGGTGTGAATCCAGAGCCAGGAGAGCAGGCTGGGGCAAGCACATGGGGACTGAATGCCTAAGGCGGGGAGAGAGAATTGGGACTTGACAAGTCCAGAGACCCCACTACAAACATTTTTTAAGGGGCAGAAAGAAAGAATCAGAAGAGCCTTGCAAGCCAGTGAAAGAAAGAAACCTGGCTTGCTAAAAAACAGGCAAACTTCTGGGTGGGGAGAGCATCTTGCACTCTTATATCTCCCCAGGTGTCTGAATGTGTATTGCTTCCCAGCTGTGCTAGAATGGGCAGAGGATTGCAATGGCAAAGCCATCTGAGCCTATTTTGGGATGGTAGATACTAGCAGTGAGAAAGACCAGTTTTCAGCTCCGTTCTTGGAAGCAACGCAGTGCACCGGTTCTCTGCATTTAGTTTGAATTACCAGTGCCCTCAGTAACCTCTCAGCGGCCTGTGCAGCAGGTGAGCAGAGCCACTCTGAAGCATTTTGTCCCGATTAAAAGGCTGAGCAGATCATGGGGTTTAACCCCATGATCATGGGGCAGGACACTGTAGGCTGCTGTGCCTACAGTGCCTTCTCCCTGTAGGAGGAGTAGTCTTGCACGCGCTTGACTACTTGTAGTGTGGGCAAACTAGAAAGGCGCTGGGGGACGCTGCTGGGGATGGCCTTTGCAAGAGGGGCAAGAATGTATGAACTGAAGATCTGCTGTGCTTTATTGATAGCGCTCTTCCCCGTGTCCTCATGGACCAGGTGCAAAGGTAGTGTCCCACCAGCAGGGCTGCCTGGCAATACTTTCCTGACCAAACTGCTTTACGTGCGGCAGGGACAGCTACGGGCCTGCTCTGCGTTGTTCCAGTGATGGCTGGAGAAATGAACCTTTCTCTGCCTCTGCTGGAGCAGGCGCTTGCTGCCAAGTCACCTGGGCTACTACCCCAAGCATGTTAACCGAGCTGAACCTTCTCCTGATGCAGCTTGCCAACGCAGAAAAGAGTAGAGCCTGGAAAAGTCGTTCTTTTGGCTTTTGTTTGTTTTATTCCTATTCCTGACTAGGAGAATGGCTGCTTCTTTCGGCTGCCAGCCTCCCTTCTTTGCTCGATGCCCTTTTCTCCTCCAAATTGGATCATTGCTTTTAGGCCCGATAGGGAAATCAGCCCAGACTGCACCAACCTACCTACAAAACTGTAGGTAGGTTTTTTTTTTTGGAAGCCCGTGGCCCAGATGACCTGCGGTCTCCCATGCCTGCCTGCTGCTGCCCAGCCCCACTGGATTTCACCGCCAGAGCTGTATTTTGTTGGGCCGCAGCTGCTCCAAGGCTGTCTCATGCCGTACCGTTAAAATAACGCATTCTCCCACGGAGCAGCTGAGCGGGTTTTGCCTCCCCTTAGGGGAAAGGAGGGCCGGCAGGGGCAGGCTGCAAACATGAGAGTTCGGCTCCAGAAAAGCCCTCCTTTCTTGGGTCAAGATCCTCTGGCTTTGCTGATCCTCAGAGCATCCCCTGTGCCGGCTGCTGCTAAAAGCTGCTCTGAGAGCATGCGAGCGGAGGTGAGCTGCAGTGCCTGCAAAACATCTGGTTTCATTAATGGCAAAGAGGTCATAACTGTGGCAAAGACTAGCCACCCTCGCACCACCCCTAGGTTTTTGTTTGCCTAAAATCTAATAACTACATCTGTTTTCATCATATGCTGAGTCGTACACCGCTCTCTGCTCCAGCCTCCCTACTCCCTTTGGACTCCCTTTGGAGATACAATTCAGGGCCACACAGCGACGAGCAGCTTCCTGCTCCTGCAAGGGGAGGCAGGCAGCAGTGCTCACGACGGCCTTCGTTGGGCTCTGTGTAACACTTTGACCAAAGGAAGCATGCTTTATTTTCCTAGCCTGGAATAAAACACTGTTAGCGGCAGCCTGCACGTAGGCAAACCGGGCATAGGCAGATAAGGCACCATCTGGTTTTATTTTTGTTTAAATTTTTAACCGTCAGAAGCATGAAGGAGATTGTCTGTAAACCAGGATCTGAGTGTACAGCGGTGAGTCACAAACAAGAGCACCCTACCCTGCTCTTTCGCTGATCGCTATGGTGGCTCCGGGCCGCGGGCTAACCGCAAAGCCTCCAGCATTAAAGAAGGCAGCAATTATCAAGGCAATACACTGCCCAGGGAAGGGGGGAGTCACTTGACCTAACTTTAGCTGTCTGAAAATTAGCTGTCCTATCTAAACCAATCACCTGGGCACCTTCTGCAGCCGATGGGGACAGCTCAGCCCTTCCAGGGCTGCAGCCTCCTACAGCAGGTACACAAACACCCTCTCCCCTCCATACGTGGGGACCCAGTCCCTGCATCTGGATGAGGTTTCTGATTTTTAGCTGTCAAAATAGGGGAAACATTGCTCGCTCCCAAGTGTCACAGCTGAGGACAGGCCTTATGGATGATCAAGGCTCCTTGGACTGCTGCTGGTCTTGCCAACAGGGGATCCTGCGCAAGGAGCCTGGGCAACACCTAAACCCCCCACTTAACCCTCGATACTGGAAAGCATCCCTCTAGCCCTGGGGAGCTGCACTGCTGCACTGACGCATCTTTAACA